AATTATTATCACGTTCTACCTCAAACTTTGCAATTGCCCTCATTTTCGATGCAACAATCCTAAGTTTGAATGGAGAGTTCTGATACAAATTGCTAGAAAAAAATACCGCCAAACACACTGTATATGCTACGTAAATTAAAAAAAAAATCCAAAATAAGCTAGAAAGAGAAAAACACAAATTAAACAAATCATTGACAACATATGAAGAATATTCCAATAACTTAGAAAATACAACAATATAATTTTTCATCGCTTTGCAATTTTTCCTTGTACAAAACTAGTTCTATCTAATTTGAATTTTATGATAAACGAAAAGCTATTCATAAAACTAATAAACATGATCACATAAACTTGCTGTAAAAATAAATAAATAAAAGGGTTAATTTAATTATTCCCTAAGTTATATATGGGATTCAATACTCATTAATTAATAATCCTCGTGAAAGACATATTACATTCAAAGGAATTTAAATAAAAAATCGAGAACCATCTATCACATTTCATGTGTAATGGAGGTCAACATTGTTAAGCTTATAGGGTCTATAAAAAAGAATGAGCATACTCAACCTTCAAAATAAGGTTGTCCAGCACAGGTGTTCCGTGCAATTGCCTTAGTTACTGTCTCTTTCACTCTTTTTCTTGCTCATTGTAGTTGCTTCTAGAGCTCAAAAGAGTAATATCTTTATTTTGATTGTCAATGGAATTTCATTGCTTAGAAAGTTAGAAGAATCACCAAAGCGGACTGGAGACTTTTCTTTGTCTTTGCTTCCATAGTAAATCAGCTACCTTTGAGTTATGGTCAATGATAAGTGTATTTTATACACTTATTCAAGACCTTAAACAACATTATTTAGTTGCTCCTCTCATGAAATGTAGCCTAAATTGTTGTATTTTTTGCATTAGATAGGTAAAACTCAATGATTTAGAAAAAATTGGAAGAAACAAAAGAAAAACCTAGAAAAAGAGTGAAATCCAAAAGACGAAGACCAAGTGACAAATAATCCATCGATGAGACGGGTGATGAAATGAAGATCAAAGATGCCAAAGCTTTAATTGAATACAACTGGAAGATAAAAGAACAAGATTGCAAGAGAAAATGGCTAAAATGAAGCAAAATTAAAGTTTGGGGACTAAAGTGCAAATACTGAAAAGTTGTGTCAAACCTTACGATGAAAATTCGGGAGCGATAGGGGTTGATCGGATGAGGAAAGAAGTCAGAGGGATGAAATATAGTCGAAATATTATCACATACCAACTTTTAGGCAAAAAAAAGTTATGCTTCAAATTTTCAGTCTCTGTTTTAGATCCATTTTTTGTATAAAAAAGTTCAAATTGGAAAAATAATCTTTGTAAAAATTGTATCCTTTGAGTTATCTTTTCAATGTACTTTAAATCACCTCAATCGAATATCAAGAGAGAAATATATGACCAAAATACTGAAAGGTGTCCGAAGGGAAAAATACTATAACTATGTGGTCACATAGTTCAAAATCTATGCTGTTGCATCCACACATGCAGGGAAATTTGGAGTTCAACAAGTAAACTATGCGGTTGCATCCCAATGTACTATACGATAGCATAGTATAAAATTTCGATCGAATCTTAGGTTTCCTTATACGATTAAAACTCAGATTGGCAAGATTTTGGACGATATCTTTGACCTAGATAGGAGTAATCGACGGAACCCTATCCAACTTCGCCGCAAGTCAACATCCAGCACCGACACCACACATCTTCCACACACCTTCGCCGTAGCAGAGAATTGCTTCTAGACGTTTCATTCGCTGTTCAGTTCCTAGTACACCTTATAATAGCTCTCCTCCTTTGGTTGTGCTACCCTTTGCTACTCCTATAGGTTACTCAAAAGTGCATTATCCTGTCTATTATGTTCCAGGGCCTTATCCAAATCCTCTTAGAATGCCTATGGTTCCAAAGCTGCCTGGGTGTGGTCTTAATTTTATTGCAAGTCTTTGTATCATTCAAATTATCATGGTTTGGTTGCTCTTGGAATTTACATATTGGCAGAATATTTCCTCCAGGCTACATGACTTGTTTCTGGAGGTAGACGTGTGAACATGTTGATGGAAGTGGAAGGATTTTGTTGGATATTGCTACATTGTGCTACACTAGTTACCGTATTCTATTGGATTTGTGGTTAAAAAAAAAGGCTCTGGAATACATGGATGTGGAGGTTTGAAGAAGTACACAAAAACAAGAAAATTTGATTGGACGAACGACCTTGACAAAAACAAGAAATTTTGATCGGACGAGCAGCACAAGGCCGCTTGCTGGAGAACAAAAGTTTGCAAGTTTAACCTAAATAAAATTAAACCCGCTGTGATACCATGTCAAATAAACTGAATAATACTCAATAAAATCGATGCCTCTCAATGTGAGAGATGTTTTCATTAAATAGAACCAAAACAAATTAAATATAGTATAAACAATCTAACTATATATAGTACAATTTAATTATAATAGAGCTGGAATATTTGATGATTTTAGTAATCTTTTTTCAGTCTCATTGACACTTTATACAACAAATAACTCAAGAATTTGAGAGAATTATATTGAAGAAGAGGCAAATTCATCTTTGAGGGAGATTTCAACCGAGGAATTACAAGAAGATCACCAAGGAGACTTTATACCAGTAAATTTACACAAAAAATGGATGGAAAACTCAAAAGTTATCAAGAATCCATCGTCTCTCTTCAACTATTCAAATTCCTGGTGATGTTTGTTAAACTTTTAATGATTTCTTGTAATTTCAATATGCTTGGCTATATTTATATTGCTAGGATGAGATGAATCCTAGCTGCAAGATTTTTGGTATTAATTAATTATTTTCATTATATTTATGTTATCTTGGATTTTTTTTTTTTATTTTCACCGAATTCTAAATTAATTACCTACTAATTGAGATGATTTATTGGAACCTATTGTTATCGAGAGAGATAATAATTTTTAGCTAAAAACGATAAAATAAACATTGTAAGGTTGGATAGAGGATATGATATACCTCTATGCTTTACATGGTTTTCATAGGTATTCTAGATTGTTTAATGCATTTATCATGTTTGTATCTTTCATGGAGAGATAGGAAGGTTATAAGAGGGGAAGAGATTTGATAACTATCGAGAGAAATTTTTTATCAAATTAGGACTATTGACCAGCAATAACGACAACAAACTGTCACCTTAATTTCTTGTGATAAAAATGGATTAATAAGGGGGATTTGACATGTTAATAATACTTTCACATATTTGAAAAATTAGTTAAATTGCTATCTAGTTTGATTGATGACTTAAGTACTAGTATAGAAAACTCAAAACTTGTTGCTATTCGATTAAGGTTGTCATTAATTTGAATTCAATCAAATACTTAGTCCTCGTGGGTTTGGTACTCTACACATTATTATATTACTTGTTCACGATTTCATCCACTTGCGAGTTTTCAAAGGGTCGGTCAAGGATGAACATAACCTCGTACTTACAATCATTCGGATCACGATTCTTTCTGGGGTTCATCCATTGTAGTTGTACACACTGAGACAGTAGACATTGATCCATTGTTCTAAATAAAAGAATAAAATTAGTAGTGGTAGATGTAAATGCACACAAAAACAATGTGCATGCGTTCAAACTACATTTGTATGTTCCATCAAATAATGAACATCGTATATCAAGATCTTCTCAACTAGTTCCCTATTGATAGTTCCCAGTCATATCTTGCAATTCAAGCCTTATGAAAAAGAAAACTACATTCAGTTATTTAAAACAACTACTAGTTCAGCTCATCCATTTAATTCATTGGAAAATGTAACATTTCATTGTTAAAGAATACAACTATTTATACATATCCTAGGATACAAGTTTCAGAATTAGGAGTTACCTTGATACAACTTTTGCATGAGGGCATTTCCAATACTCATAATCAAATATATCTACACTATTAATATATGTAACTTTGTCACAATTACCATATGGCTGATTTAGAGTCTAAATGTACGTTGTCAAATGTATTGATTATCGTATAACGTAAATTCATAAACAAAAATGAGTCGGACATCTTTAGATCATAACGACATAGAAAGAAGCTTAAAACAAAACGGAATATGTTTTTTTACTCGATGATATGGACCCCTTATATATTTTTATCTTTGTGAACCAGTCATCACCTAGTCTAGATACCCTCGAAGGTCTCAATTCTAGACCATGCTTTTTCCACGAAGCGTGATTCAATGACTCAACATTAGCTTTAACCTTGACAAGATACAATGTAGTGGAGTAAACATATTTTTTTCCAATTGTCATATGTAATATAAAAATTGATGATGTAATCAAACTTGGTTGTTTCATCAATTATGAGTTTGGAATAATTAACAGTAAAGCTCAATGACCATTTGGATTTTTAACTTCTATTTATGACAATTCCTCAATTATAAATAGATAAAAGTGAGTAATCAATAAGTATATAGAACTTATGTATCTCATGAAATATATGGATTAAAAGTTATTGGATCAATTATAAACACATGTCAAAGGATTTCTTTTTATCTTTTCTTCAACTCGCCCCTAAAAAAATTTCTTCAAATAATTATTAAAAAATTTAAAAATTGAAAATTTAATCCACTTAAAAATTGGGTCCTGTCTTAAAGATACGTGTATCCCCCATTGATGCCCACCTGTCAGTTGTACTGATATCCGTAGGCGTAGGGTGTTCTTTGCCCTGCTAAGCTCCCGTCTAACCTCAGAATTTTTCAAAATATCAACATTTTTTTCCTTTTTCTCTGTATCCATGGCACTACAAGTATAGCAAAAAATTGTCTAATATTCATGGCAGCAGCTAAATACCACTCTGCAACTCCCCCATTCCCTAGGTATAAAGAAATCTTCACCTCTACGACCAGGTACTATGTTAATTGTAAAAAATTTGTTGTTTTAGATTATACTTGGCAACAAACAGAAGGGAATAAAGTTATGTGGAAATTCATTGGATGCACCCTTTATTTGATTGGTCTTAGTCTGTAGAGTGAGAAAATTGAAAACGAAAAATTCTGATCTTTTTGTTTCTGAAAGAACTTAAAAAGAAAAATAAAATAAAAAGAAGAATGACGAAGACGGATTAATGCAGTCGACTCTAAATTTATTGGAATAAGACCAATTTGTTGTTGTTGTTAAAAAACTTTGCTAAAAGTGAAATTTTCTTTATTATTTTTTTAAGGAGGAGCATTGGGGGATATAGAGTAAATGTATGTAAAGCAAAGTTGTCAGAGTCAAACGCTAAGAAAGCAAATCTTTCGGCAAGAAAGAAGGAAAGGATAAGGGTTCCAAATTATGGTGATGATGGCACTGGAGGCAAGAATATTCATCATATAAGTGAATTTCTTGGTCATCCATGTGGAATTGAATCTATCTTGAACACAAGGGCTTTGCAAAGTTATCAATCCCTTGATTCTAATGTTTACAGGTGAAAATTCTTTTTACCCCCTCTATTGTTATGCTACAAACTTTTCCTTTATGTTAAATGCTTGTGTTGAACCATCTTGCCTAAGTACCTAAGCTTATAGAGATTGGACAAATTTATTTACTGAATTTCTGAAGATCCTCCTGTAGGCTGGATTCATTCTTTAGCTTGTGACGTGGACGATCTTGTTCGTTGACTTCTAAAAGCTTAAGTTGGCAAAGAGAGGACCAATTATATTTAAATTGTTTTCAACAGCTTGGACATGAAATGTGATTCTTGCATCGTATTTGCAAGCCCGTGTTTGATGAATTGCAGCAATGAGGAAGTACAAAATTGTATTTGAGTGGAAATTGGTATAAGGGAGATGGAGAAATGGACTTGTAGTTCCAACATCTGTGTCTTTGTAAGGTCAATGCAGACCAATACATAGAACATATACTTCTGTCTGCATTAAGTATCCTAGGCTCAATTAATTAAGGGCTCTCTGTGATTGTCAACTGCCAAGTACCTAGAATAGAATCCACATTGAACCTCCTCTATCAGACTGATTGTAGCATTCTGTCATTCTAGAGCTGATTAGATGCTTCTTCTCTTGAAAATGTCTGAACTAGTTGGGCTTCGTTGCTTAAGTGTGCATCTTACTGGGATGTTGCTTTAACATGGTGCAACTCATGCATAATATCCATGATTGATTGAGTGGAACTGCAGAGTGAATGGAAGTAACTGTGTCATTGGGTTGATATTTTGATAAATATGCATCATTTTGATCGCATAGCTTACAATGAACAAGCTGAGAAAGCCCTGATACTAGCTATGAGTTAGATGCACGAATATTTTGTGTACTAGTGAAGTTAACTTTGGTTCTAGTATTTACACAATATGTACAGTTGTGTTTTCCCTATTAAACTTGTTTAGTTGTTTTATTATACAACTTCATAGATGAAAAAACTAGTTTCATAGATGAAAAAAACTAGTTGTCAAATTTGCTCCACTAAAATAGAATTCCTATATTCACTTTTTTTCTGGCTTGCAAGGTCATTTCCCATGCATAAGTAATTGTTGCAACAATCTGATTTTAGTACATGCAGGTGTACTCTACCACAGCTTCAACTTCTCAGTTTTGAGGTAGCGCCAGTGTTGGACTTGAGAGTTACACCAAGTACTGAAGATTGTGTAGTTGAGATGTTGTCTTGCAAGGTAAACTTATTCTAGTGGGCTAAGAGTAGATGCTGTGCATATATTAAAAAAAATTACTCATTCCAAAACTTATTTATTTTCTTACAAGTAAACTTGACACAGTACGCTTACAGCATTCAATTAAGAAATCACTATGTTATATAAGAATAGAAATAAGAGACAAGAGAAGGCAGAAATGTGCATGCGTGTGTGTGTGTGTGAGAGAGAGAGAGAGACTTTTTAAGCTTAGCCAAATGTGCTCTAAGTGGATATCTTAGATTCACAATCAATGATACCTTATCCATCTCAATGGAAGTTTGAGCATTTTCGCTCATAGTATGACTTGACAGCGACAAGAGTAGTCTATATTGATATCTAATTGAAGCCTAGGAGGTGGAATACTCAGAGTACATGAATATTATGAATATGAAGAGGAATTGAAGAAGAAGAAGAAGAAGAAGAAGAAGCTCTAGTCTTACCCATTGGTGAAATATATATTAAGGGATATAATGAAACTTAAGGGAACACTACTTCAACTATAATAAAACGATAAGTTGTACCATGGACCCCAATTGCAGGCTTATATTTGTGAAAGTAGGAAGTTCGTTAAATAAATCATGATAAAGGATCTATCCTCCGACAAAGGCAAGCTATGGATCAACAAAAGGCTCTTGCTTAATTTGGAGTCTGTAGCCTGGAGGTTTTCAATTACAAAGTGTAGTTGAGTTCAATTCAACATGTCTTAACTTTTGTATTTTTACTTAGTTATATTTTCTTTCTACGTGAATGGTATTATGATAAATTCCTTTTAAATTATTACAATGTTCTGAACCTGTAAATTTAAACCTTAGCATGTCATCAAGAAATCGACTCATTAATAGGATTCCATTGAACACCTGCTGCCAATGCATTGTTAAATAATAGCACGTGGCTTCATGATAGAGATAGAGACATAGATAGGATTTTGAAATAAAACTTAATTCCAATTATGAATGTTTATATTAGTTTTAATAGTTTAATGAAGTTCTAGTTTAGAAGAAGTTTGTTTGATTTTAGCTTCTTTTTAGTTTCTTTGCTCTATATGTAAAGGGCCTATTTGAATTAATTGATTTCTCTTGCCCTAATTCTTCTTTTTCTTGGATCCCCTTTCTTTTCTTGTTCTTCATGTGTTCTTTGTAATATTGATAAGTTCCTATGTCACTTCACACACTTGATATATTTGGTAACTTGTTAAACTGTTAATGTGGGTTGCAGTTTGAGGGTTCAGAAGTAGTGGAACGGCAGAATGAGCGCTTTTCAGGTATACTTATTCTTTACATCATCATCATTATTATTATTTTAATTTCCAAGGTGTTGAAATGAATGAATGTGGACTAGAGTAAAGATCGAGCATAAGGAGTATCTGCATTGATTTCACCTATGTTCGAAAAGTCAAAACTCATCATGGATATGGTTAACTGGGAGATTCAAATTAGATGTTATACAATCCACTGCATATGTCTGTAATTTGCATGCACTCAACGATTTCTGAAATTCTTCATTGTCATCGACTGCAAGTTTAATATGTCGTGGTGGCTTTAGTATATGTTCCCTTGATTTCACTTGCATAATTTAGCAATGCCTATTATAGCCTACATCTAAGTTTTAATCTTTCTTCGTTTTCAACATGCAGCTTCAATGAGAAACTGTATAACATGGGAAACTATTGGCAGTGAACCATTTTTGAATGTCGATGTGAAGTTAGATCTCGTCCTTGAGGTTGCTACCCTCCTCTTGTTGAGTATTTTCCTGTGGATTCTATGGTACTTTCTTCTTTTGAATATATGTTTCAAATACGGAAATTCGCTTAGTTCATCTGTATCTGTTACCTCAAACTTTATTCCAAAAAAAAAAAAAAAAAAAAAACCCTCTCAGTGGGCGATTTCTTTCCTCTCCTCTAGGGTTGCCGTCATGGCTAACCCTAGGGAGCAGCTACCAGGAGGCGGAGCCCTGTTCAAACACCGTGGGCGGCTGGCAAGCCATCCTTTGCTAATATAGTCGTTGATCGGCCACAACCATTGCCCGAAGTGGCTATCTCAATGAAAGAACCGACATTGGTACAAGGGGAATATTGTTTTGTCTTCACGGAGGATGAGATTGAGAAGAATGCTGCACTGTTCAAATTCTCGGTGGTGCTAAAATTCTTACGCAGGCGACCTTCGCTGGATATCATTCAGGGTTTCATCAAAAATCGTTGGGTAAAATCCATGCCTGTTGTGGGACAATTGATGAGAGCAAGGAATGTGCTCGTTTGACTTACCAGTGAGGAAGACTTCATCCCGGCTATGATTAGGGAGAGCAAGGAGATAGACGGCATTCCCTATAACATATTTCACTGGACTCCAGAGTTTAACTAGGAGGAGGACTCTTCGAGGGTTCTGGTATTGGTGCGATTACCAGGCTTCCACCTAACTTCTATCAAGTCTCTACTTTAAAAAGCTTCACCTCGATCATGGGCACCTTTTTGAAAAGAGATAATACCATGTATTGTGTCACCAGGCCGAAGGGAGCCAGATTCTGTGTTGAGATGGATGTATTGAAACCACCAGTGCAATCTTTTTGGATTGGTCATCCGGCGGGGGAGAAAAGACACTGCCAGGAAATCATTTATGAGAACTTACAGTTGTTTGTGCCACTTGTCGGCAGGGCCTTGTGATGTTGAACTGTAGAGTGAGTGGAATACAAAAACCTCTGCTGGTGGAACCTGATGATAATAAGGGTAGGAATCTACAAGTTTGGCTCAAAGTTGGAAGAAGGAAAATACCAGAGCCGGTTCAATTAGATCTCAATGAGAGGAAGAGAGTCAGAGCCCGTAGGCTTGAGATCATTGAAGGAAAAAAAGAAAGTCATGGCAAATCAGGTTGAAAAAGTGTAGTATAGTAACATGGTTGGTGAATTAATTTCTAAGGAACAGTTTGATCAGAAGGCACTTGGAAGTGGTTCTCACGCACCTATGCAATCTGCTAACCAAGAGCAGACAAGAGACACCACCAAAACCATGGGGCCATCTGTTGAAGTTGAATGGGCAGCCTGTCCAGTGATTGGTTGGTGACAGGAATCTGAGGAGGTGCTGGGGGATAGTACTTCGTCTCCGCAAGGAAATTTAAAAATCATCGATGCTGTGTTTGAAAGTGAATTGTGTTTTTTTAATAAGGATTTAAAGGAGGAGCAGATATACGGTTCCCTTTACGGTGTTAATTTGCAGGTTTTCAGAAGGAGAAGATGGTGATGAACTAGAGGAATTGGCTCCAAAACAATATCGGACTGACTTTAAGACTAAGGATTCATATCAGAAGCGTAGGAGAACCAAATCAAAATGACTAAAGTTACTCTACCCTAAGAGTACTAGGTCTCAAAAACCTTATCAATTATGAATGTGTTAATTTGGAATATTAGGGAGTGGTTTCGTCGCAAAGTTGTCTTATGCAAATTAATAAAAAATTTAAACCAGAGGTTGTAGCTCTTACGGAACCTTTTGTACGAGTTGTTCGGATTCATAATTGGAAGCATAAATTACAGATGGAGGACTGTTGTTCAATTTCATGGAAGGGTGGAAGTCTGGTTATTTTGGAGAAATGGGTTGCAGTTTGATTTGTTAGTCGCATATGATCAGGCAATATTGGGTGTTCTTCTTAAGGAAGGAAAAAGAATGTTTGCTAAGCTTGTGTATGCTAGCTGTTTCTAGAACAAGCATCGAAAACTTTGGAAGCAAATTCGGAATATGCCTGGTGATACTGAACCCTGCCTTGTTGGTGGCGACTTTAATGTTGTTCAAGTGAATGAAGAAAAAGTGGGCAGGTTATTTTCTGATAGACGTCCAAAGAAGGAGTTTAACCAATGCATTTAATAGTGTGGTCTTGTAGAGTTACCTTTTGAAGGCAGTCGTCTATCTTGGTGTAACGGAAGAGTTGGTAGGAGAAGGATTTGGACTCGGCTTGAAGAGTATTGGTGCATCCCATTTTCTTGGAACGGTTTAGTTCGTCAAAGCTGGTCACTATGGCTCGCTCATCGTCTGACCATTGTCCAATGGTGATCAAGCTGAATAATAGAGCTCACGAGTATGTCCCAAGACCTTTTAAATTTCAGCGCTTGTGGTGTTCGTAGGAGGGGTTACTACCTTTATTAAACAGTATTAGGAAGAGGAGGGAATTGGGAGCCCAATAATCTGTGTGGGGTGTAAACTTAAGGCTTTGAAAAGGTGCTCAAAAGGTGGAATTTAGAGGTGTTTGGTCGGGTGGAACAAGAATTGACCAAACTGGAGGATCAACTGATGATGCTAGAAAATAATCTCATACAAGAATATTCGAAGGATGTGGAAGCTGAGCTTATCAACTGCGCTAAATTCCATAACGAGTGGGTACAACAGGAGGAGGTTTTATGGTGCCAAAAGGTGAGGATAAAATGGTTACAAGAGGGTGATGCCAACACCAGATTTACTCGCGCATGTGTAAGACGTAAATCCTCCAAGAAATATGTTTGAAGTATGATTTTAGATGATGGCCGCATACTTGCATCAGCGGATACTTTCCACACTGAGGCTGTACATTTTTTCCAAGAAACGTGTTCGGAGTATGATTTTAGATGTGGTGAATATGGATTTGTTGGATATGGCATTAGACTTCTTACCACTGACTACTTTGCTCGGACCGACAAACCTGGTCTTGATCCCTAAAGTGGATAAACCTGAAAGTTATGCAAAATTTCGTCCCATCAGTCTATGTTCGATTAACTACAAAATCCTCTCTAAAATCTTTGTCATGCGCTCGTCTCCGCTGCTTGGGTCCCTTGTCTCCAAGGAACAATCTGCTTTTATACTTGGTAGAAGCATTTTTGAAAATGTCGCCGTTTCCCAAGAAATGGCGTCATCGTTGAATAGGAAGGTGAGGGGGGTGGAAACATTATCTTAAAACTTGATATGACAAAGGCATATGACAGAGTGTATTGGGGCTTCTTGTTGGAGGTGCTTAAGTGGTTTCGCTTCTCTGGACAATGAAGAGATCTGATTTTTTCGGTTATTTTGAATGGGTTGGCTAAAGGTTTCTTTTAGGCATCTCGTGGCCTACGACAAGGGGACCCTCTCTGCCCTTATTTGTTTGTTCTAGTCAAGGAGGTCTTCCCTCGAATGCTTAAGCTCGCTTATGATTTGGGAAAGATAAATCCTTATACCATGGGTGGTGGCTCGATGGTCTCTCATCTCTTTTATGAGGATGACTTATTAATTTTCTCCGATGGTGACAAGAGATCAGTTCGAAATTTATTGCACGTGATTAATACGTATGTGAATATTTTGGAACAGCTGGTGAGCTCGGCAAAATCTATGATTTTTTTCTCCAAACACATTAGCCTAGCAAAAAGGGATGGTTTATTGAACCTATCAAGTTTCAGTGAGAGCTCGTGGCTGGCCACCTACCTGGACATGCCTGTTCATGTGGGAAGGCTTACTATGAATATGCTAGAACCAATGTTTGCAAAGATTCAAAAGAAACTGGCCAGATGGGAAGGTAAGTTATCATTTGGAGGTAAAATTACTCTTATTAGGCATGTCCTTCATAGCATGCCCATCCTCATCCTATCTGTTATGAGAGTTCCCAATGGGACTTTTAAGGAACTACAAAGAATGTTTTATGATTTTCTTTGGGGCTCGTCGCATGGGTGTCGCAAAAGAAAATGGTTTGCGTGGAATAATATTTGTCTACAGGTGGAAGGAGAGGAGGTCTGGGAATCCGAAACCTCGTGGAAATGCAATCATCTCTTTTATGAAATTTTTCTGGAAATTATTGAAAGGGATTAGCTTATGGGCTGATTTCTTCAGAAGAAAATATCTAGCAGATAAGCATCTTGCTACTATCCTACATAGCAATTATGGCTCTCGATTTTGGAGGTCCCTTTTGCACGTGGCTTCATTGGTGTTAAAACATGCAAAAATGGTTATGCGTAATGGAGAAGCTAGTTTCTGGTTCGACAATTGGTTGCGGTTAGGTCCTTTGTCAGAGGAATATCAATATGGTGACCAGAAAATCCAAGTTAAGAACTTGCTTTTGGATACAGGGTGAGATATGGAGAAGCTTCGAAACCTCGTTGATAATGATTGTGTTAAAAGAATCATTGATGCCAATGTTGTACTTCGATCTGGTAGAGATGTTCTAATCTGGCAACCAACTAATGATGGTCGCTTCACTTCAAAATCAGCTTGGGAACTCATTTGGGCAAGAGGTAATAATTGTGATTGGAAAAAATGGCTTTGGTCTTCAATGGTGCCCAAGAAACTTTCTTCTGTAAGTTGGCGAGCTTTGCGATCTAAACTACCTGTTGTCATTAATATCCAAGCAGTGGGTGTCAAGTTGGCATCTAGATATAATTGCTGTATGCAACCATCATACGAAACGGCCGACCATGTGTTAGGCATGGGTGACTTAGCTAAAGAGTTATGGAGATATTTTGCAGGGGCTTGCACTATTCTGTTCTCGGAGGCTAGTTGCTGGCAAGGAAAATGGTATCATGGTGGACAAAAGCATCACAATATACACAGGTGGTTGTGTTACATGGAATCATCCCTTTGCTTATCACTTGGCAATTGTGGATAGCTAGATGTGCAGCTCGAATGGAGGAGGCTGCTATCTCTTCGAGGTGTGTTATTAGACAGGTTAGGGCGATGTTGATCATAATTGCGAGTTCCTTCAAGATGTTCAGTTGTATAAGAGTGTCTGACAGAGAAACTCTGGAAAGATTAAGTGTTCCAGTAGCTCCTATTTCTGTGGTAGTACCTCAGCTGGTTAGTTGGAAGAGACCAGAAAATGGTACGATGAAGTTGAATGTTGATGGAGGCTCTAAAGGAAATCCAGGTGCTTCAGGTGGAGATAAACTAATTTCCAGTTTTGCTCACTACTATGGCATGTCTACGAACACCGTTGCCGAGTCCCGTGCTCTAAGGGACGATTTGGCCATGTGCAAGGAATGGGGATTGGTGGATCTGTGGTGGAATCAGATTTCTACGCTGATGTTAAATTGGGCACGTGATGGAAGATGCACATTATGGTATTTGTGGGAGGGATATCTATGCCTTGATTGAAATCGCCCGTGCCAAGATAACACATCTACAGGGAAGGTAATATGTTGACAGGTTGTTTTCATCTTGAGATGGACTGATTTTCAATGTCATTTCCCCAATTTTAGCCTCTGCCAGCGTTAGTTGTAGGCCGAGAGATGGGTCCCCTACATAGCAGCCTTTCCTATGGGCTGACTCGAACATTTCACACATTTATCGGCACTAAAATATTTCTCAAAAGTTTGTCACCTTCAGATTGAATAGATTCCTTCATTTCGTTTGTCTAGAATTAGAAACAATTTTAATATTGCTGATCATCTGGCTCATAGTTTGTCTGTGATTGGTAATTATTTCAAATGCTAAAGATTAGCAGTTGATATTTTCTCCTGTTACTTGAGCCTTCTTAGCTATATAGATTATATGATTTCTAATATTTTAATATTAAATAGTTCATGGCCTGCTTTATTTTTCCCAAAATATATCATTGAATTGAGCTTTGTCACACTTGTATCCATGTTTTCACTCCTATAACCCCTATAATATGTCTCTGAAAGCAGAAGAAAGAAAATCCAAGGAAATGATTTTTTTACATTTTTTTGAATTTACAAGTACATGTTTGTGAATTTATATGCTTAAAGAAAACAAAAAGGGTTTCTAAACATGTCTGGACAAGCTACTTTTTCTTGCTTTTAAGTAAAAGAAATTTACTATGGAAGTAACTCTTAATGTCAAAATAAGTAACTTATTTATCGATAGATAATATTTTTAAGCTTAGTCAAGCATGCTACCTCATAGCAAACCCTTCACTTTTGTTCACTCGGATTCAGATATAGCCACTAAGTACGGTATGCAACCAAGATTTACCCTGCCACTCACTGTAGGAATTGAGCCTGTTTATTCTCATTGAACGGCTTCGTTCCCGTTGGCATCTTAGTTTTTATTGAACCTTCATCTTCATTATAACTCATCTGAAAGCTAGCTGCTGCATCCCAATCATTAAAGTAATTATGTTGCTTTTATGCAGATTTACACCCAGCCGTTCATCTTTTTGCCAATATCATCTGTCGAGGTTCCAGGGAATATGTAAGTGTTGTAAACTCATTTACAGTAAATAAAGCATGAACCATTTACTTCTAAGAAAAAAAGGGAATATGTGAGACCATAATTAACTGAGACTTAAAATAAAAAGAGTGTAAGGAAAATCTCTTCATGTGTAATGAAATACGCCTTTCCAGTGTTTAAGGTAAGACTTGATACCTTTAGAACTCTTAAAATTAGCAAACTACATCATGTATTCCCAAATCCTGACCATGAATTGTACACAGAGTGATGCAGGCTCTAGTGGACAGGTTGGTACCGCTACTCATACAACAGCTGCTGCAAGATTATGAAGAATGGGTGCGTAAACAACAGGATTTGTTTTCAATGAAACTTCAAAGTAAGTTTTTGTACTTAATTACATGTCAGTTTTCTCATAGAAACTCCTGATCTGAAGATGCAAATAGTTTTATCATTTAATCTATATATGTGACCTATCACTTTATACAAAGTCTGTAGTTATAGTACCATTGACTCCTAAGTTATTCACGTCTCTTGAAAGATAATCTATTTTCAGGAAGCCGTGCTTCTACATGAAAACCACATTTACTTCCTTGGGTTAGAGTAAAAATGTAATTTCTCAAGGTAAGCACAAAATTTTTGTACCCCAGAGACGACCCTGTTACTTTTTTCACATTTTTCTTATTATCTAGGGTGAGGAGCAGAAGTTCAGCTTGCCATCGGTCCAGGATTCTCAGTCTGATGTGTGTGTAATAGACTAAATCAGATCTATAAGCACTCTTTCATGAAATAATCTTGTATTATAGCTCTCATTTGTATGAAAATCTCGTTCTTGATCCGCAGAATGAAGAGATGAAGCAAATTAGTGGAGTTTTGGTTTTGAAATTGTAACACATTGCTGTGATGTACAATCAAATTCTTGTTTTCGATTTAAGAATGTTTAGGAAAAACAGGAAATAACATAGTGAAAAACTCTCGTCTTTATAGACCATATTATTCATCCAATTTTGGAAATTTTCACGCACATACGTGTTCTAGTTATTCGCGACTGTGGTGCACGACATGGACAAATGGCCTAGCTTGTGAACAATGGTCGCATGGCTTGTAGACAATAATTATCAATGGTTAATTGAGAGAATTTGCCGGTTGTTATCTTTGTGATTGCAAGGAGCATAACTTGCGATGTTTAAATATTCATAATTTGACCATCCACATTCTACAATCGTCTGTGATTGATCCCATGCACGTTTCGAAAGTTTGCAAATAAGTTCCCAAACTTTCTGAACATTGGATTCATGTCTGAAACTTGTGAATCTCTACCAATTACCATCTTAATTATTTCAATTAACCAAATGCAATCCGGTTGATTATGAATTGCCCCGAATCAACTCCAATTGAGTGTCAAATTCATCTTTTTCGCTCAAGTCATATACAAATTTTTTACAACTAACATATTTGCACAAAATTAGGTGGATATCCACTATATTAGCTATAATTGATCAAGTTTAGAAGCCCCAAATGAGTATATAAAATACCCTTATCCGTTCACAAAGAATACTAACAAGGATTATTCTTGGGGGACGTCCACGGCCCTATCCGTTTGGTTTAGCCCTACTAACAAATGTAGTGTGAAGTAGGTGATTGGCACAATACAGTGGGCCACGGTTAGGCTTAACCTAGTAGGTGGTTGGTTAGACACTGCTGAATTATAGCCTGAACAAATAGAATTCCAATGGTTCTATTGATGTCAAAATCTGCCTAGGGTTAAATTTTACATGGACCTTCTTAGAAGAGAACTATGTGTATATAATATAAAGTAAGAAGTGTGAGGATGAACTTTATTCTGATGGTCCCTATGTGTATCTTTATAGGCCTTTTTCTTGAACCTTAATTCGTAAGGTGTGTATGCTTCTCGTCAATTGAAGTTAATGGGTATGAAGTCTACGTGAGTCCCTACAATACAACCAATTTTCAAAATGTCATAATCAGCTCTTAATTTTCAAAACGATTTTTACGTCTAGGCGAAGCCTAAGGTAAAAATAGTGTTACTTATTTTTTTTATTATTTTAAATACTTAATCATTTTAAACATCATTTAATAATTAAAATAATATATACTTTATTTACTTGATAGTTCCTACAATTAGTCAATTATACAATTTTCAAGTTTTTGAAATGCAAGGCTAAATTTTCTTTCATAATTTCAACTTTCAACTAGACAAGTCTCACTTAAAAAATTTATAAAAACTTCATACATATTTTGAAGTTTGCAACAATACGATAGGTTTCAAAATCATAATAGATATAGTACCTTACCTTAACTCTTATTTAAATCTTTATCGGATAAAGTCATTTAAAATTTTGAAACTAAAGTCCCAAAAAAAAAAAATAGAGAAAAAGAGAAAAACCTTTTTGAAGGGAAAAAAATAAATTTAAAAGCTAAAATCAAATAAAGGTTTTTTAAAAAGGGAAAAAATAATAAAATACCCAAGCATGCATTAAGCAGACGTTTCCTACCAAAGCAAAGCGTTTTGTCCTCACCTCACGCTTAGACAATGTGTAAACGAGTTTTTTAAAACACTGATATATAGCAGCCTCATTTACTCAATATTTGGGGGGATTTTATTATGCTTTAGCAGGTTCAAGCAAATTTTAGTGGATGCACAGTAAACCAACTTCCGAAAGACAAATTACAAGGGGTCATGGCCCATTTGATTCAAACCTGTAGCTTTACATTTGGCCTAAACTTGGTCTATTTGTTCCATCTCCTGCAATTCTAAGTTGGCTTCATCATCATTGTTCGTCGTAGTGATAAATATGTTAAGATCGGGAATTGTTGGCAGCAGAAGTTGAACACTAAGCACAAAACTCCTCCATGCAGTAAAGATACAACGAGTGCGTAAGAAGATCAGCAAAATTATGGGATAGATATACCAAAAGATATGTTGTGGGCAGAATAGCGAGAGCAAGGAACAAACCATTAGGGGAACCGAGAAATTATTGAACTGTATGCGTATGTATCCCATATTAATTTGAGGTGTCAATGGGATTTCAATGGAGACGAAAGAGAAGACAAAGAAAAAGAGAGTGAGAAGACAAAACTTAATCCAAGTGAAGTTTACAATTGATATCCCAAAAGGATCCCATTCCCAAGGCATGGCCTTGTGTGATTTCAAAATGTTTACAACAAATGGGGCTGTGTATCTTAGATCAAAGTAAGACATTGTTCTTCTCTGGGGATTGTATGCTTGGGTGAGAGAAAGAAGCTCTGGAGAGGATATATATATATATAGGTATTGACATGAGAAATTTACTTGAAACGAAATTTACTTGAAACTTCCACCAATGTGAAACAAATTTCCTCGAAACTTACCAAACGTCTGATCTAATTAGCATGAGGTCAATCATATTTGATACTCTGAGAAGGTTGAATGTCAAGAAAATAATAATTAATAAAATCGAATGTGGACCTTTGAGAGTTGAATGTCAAGAAAATAATAATTAATAAAATCGAATGTGGACCTTTATAATGTTCCGACAATTGACACGTGCGCATGACGTCAATCATATTTGATACTCTGAGAAAGTTGAAAGTAAAAAAAAAAAAAAAAAAAAAAAAAAAAAAAACAGGGCACATCCGAGTTGGTAAAACAATCACTTCGCTGGGACGCTGGAAACAAGGGTGGGGAGTTCGATTCCTGGAGTTAACACTGGGAGCCATATGGAGAGGAAGTCATTGGTGTGAACAAACGCCCAGTGAGGAGAGCTCTCTTTGCGGAAGAAGTCCAAATGAGTTGTGGGAACCTGGGAGCCAACAAGGGCACATCCTGCGATTTACCTCCCTGAGCTGCTGAGGGTCCGGAGGTTCAGGGACAAGGATCTAGTCGGACGCAAGCCCGGACACCTTGTTAAAAAAAAAAAAAAAAAAAAAAAGTGCATGACGTCAATCATATAGTTTGAGAAAGTTGAATGTCAAAAAACAAAATGATAAAAAAAGGGAAAAAAAAAAATTCGAATGTGGACCTTTATAATGATCAGACAATTAGTGGACTGTACGAGATTGACACCATAAGCGTAAGCATTTGCACCTACATAACAAAATCCTACACCCATGTTTGAAGGCCTTTATTTCAAAATAAATAAATAAATAAACTATGATTACAATAGTATTTTTTGGAAAATGTATGGTTAAAAAATAGGAAATTTTTTGAATTTAAGTGTAGAATATTTTATTATGTGAATGTATAATTTACAATGAGTATGAGAATAAATTAAAGTAAAGTATGAGAAAATAAATTAAAGTAAAAATTGTCAAACAAGGGCTAAATATAGTGCTATTATATGAAAAGCGATTATTTAAGAATATGTAGTTAACAAGTAAGAAAAATTATTATTTTTCTTTAAAATGTTTAGTTAAAAATAAGTATGAAAAAGATAATTTAGCTTTTAAGCATACGCAAAGCACTCAAAAGGCCCCAAAGTATCTTGAATGCATGTAGATGGAATAAAATGACTGGTAAACTTAGTTAATCTCGTTTAATTCAACATAATATAAGCATCCTTAATGTTTCGCAGTGTTCACTTTTAAGTATCTTAGTCGATTACAATACAAGTAGTAATTGCTTCTCTTGATAACGACCATTATGAGACAAACGTTAAGTATGAAAGTTTAGGGGTCTGCTTGGAAGTTTTGGGATATCGGTTATGAAGTTTTTTAAATACCAATTTTGAGTGATTTTCAATAAAAAAATTTAAAACAAACTAAGTCACGATTGAGAGTTTATTATTTATCTATTCAAAACGTTTGTCAAACGAATAAAAGTACGTATAGACACAAATATTTAAAAAAAATAAGGGGAAACAGGTATGTTTAAAAGTTTTTGGTTAAATGGTTATGTCACTTGCATAAATTTTAAATTTATAATTTCTTGAATAAGATTTTTTTATTCATAAGTGATATTTTACTTATAAGTAATTATTTACACATAAAATATAATTAAATATCATTTAATAATATTTTACAAGGCCTATTCCCTTAACCGCAGGCCACGTACAGTGCAAAAGTAAAGTGTTGGATTAACTTGACTGCAAGCACAAGCTTGGATATATTAATGAAAGGGAAAATTACATAAAATCAGGCATTTCAAAATTACAAATCAAAAATCAAATAATAAGTTTGTTTGATCACAAATCAAGTACCCATCTTATCCATTCAAATTCTAAACCCTAAAATTTTCATTTTCACTCTATCTTTTCTCCTCACTCTCTCCACGCCTCAGGCATTGCCGCCTAATACCGGAGACCACAGTGAGTGATTGCTTCCCTAATCCCGTCTCTCTCTAAACACACGCAGTCATGTATCTTCTCTTCTTCCTAATTTCTCTTCTCTCAACAGTAGCGGTGCCGCCACTGGAAGAGGATTTTCGATGCATCAGTGTTACCATGGATCGTCTACGCAGCAACATCACCACCGGGCATCGTGAGTAGCAGCTGAGTGAGCTGCAAATCTGCTCACTTACTTTTTTTTAAAAACTTTTGAGTGGTGGTGATTGATGGTTCGGTGGTTGATGTGTATAGTGCGGTGGTGGTGTCAGGTGTGCGGTGCGGCAGTGATATGCTATGGTGTCACAGTGGTGGTGCAATGGTGGTATGGTGCTATGGTTCGGTGGAGGTAGAAGTGTTGGTGTGCGATAGGTGGGTGTGACGGTGGATTGCCGCTTGTAGTGTGAATAGTGTTGACTGATTTTCGTGTTGTGATAGGGATGGCTCTGGCAGTGGTGTTGCAGTGGTGGTGGTGGTGGTGGTTTGCCGACCAATGCTATTGTGAACAGCGATGGTCATGGTGGTATTGTGTAGGATGATAGTTTTTATTCGTATAAGTGGTGGTGGAGATGGTGAAGTGGTGATGAGGTCGCAATGATGGCTTTTGTAGGGTGTTGGTGGTTTTGTATCTGTTTTGTTTGTGGTGAGGTGGTGTTGTGGTATCTGAGATGACGGGGCT